TCCTCGATGTCGCGGAAAGCCGCCATAACTACGCCAGGACCAAACCCGCGCAAATTTGTCTGTCGTGAGGCCCGCCCTTACCCGAGAAACCTAGATCTCATTGGTTCATATCCCCGTCAGGCATTAGAAGTGGCCAATGAGCACAGGGCGAGGACTGTGTCTCAGGGAGGATGCCGGGTCTAGCCTAATGCGCATGCGTTATCTATCCGTCAGTCATCGGTAATGACCAATTAACGAAGAGAGGGGCGTGCCCGGAGGCCTGCCTGATCGCCTGCGCCGCCTGGACAGCCGCTGTGCGAACTGGGGGGCAAGTTTTATTTGTCCCTGTGTCCTGTATGGGGTTCGTGCAGGGTGGAGTTTTAGAGGCGATGCAGGGAACTGCTTCTTAGGGAGCTGACGTTCTACATGGGATACACACAATAAGTATAAGTAAGTCCTGTTTGCAAAGTGAAATCTGCTGTCAGATAGATTGGATTTCAATCACTGCTTTTCCACTTGCTACCTGTGTTACTTCGGGTTAGTTACCTCACCTCTCTGTGTCTTGTTTTCTTCCTCAGTAAAATAAGGGCCAGAATAGTGCCACCCTCAGGGCTGGCGTGCAGGTCAAATGAGAATGGTGCCCATATTCAGTTAAGCATTATATGGCTGTCACGTAAAACATGCACAGAACTCGGGTGCGGTGACGCACGCCAGTGATTCCTTGCACTCAGGAGGCTGAGGCAGGAGGATCGCTGTGAGTTTGAGAACAGCCTGGGCTACATAGTGAGTTCAAGGCTGATGTGAACTACACAGTGAGACCCTGTCTCTTAAAAAAAAAAACAAAAAACAAAAAAAAAACTGGGCTCCGTTTCTGGCTGTGCAGCCTACCTTTGACCTTGGCAGGCTCTTAACCTTTCTCTCTCAGCCCTGGGGCTAAAGATAGCCCTCTTATCAGCGGCGCTGGGTGCCCAGAAGATAAACCTGTAGTTGTGCAACTAGAAACTGGCAGGCGTCCATGCCCCTGTTGAAAAAGACTCTCACCTCCCTTCCAAAAAGGCAGAGAGACGTGCACCTCACAGGCCCGCGGATGGCGACCGCCCCACGCAGACCAACCACCCCCAAGCCCAGAAAGTGGAGTGCGAGGAGGGTGTGGCGGAGCCAAAGCCCTTGTGCAGCGTGGAGGGGCCTTTAAAGTGGTTTCAGCTGCGCTGGAAAAAATCTGTTCTTATCAGTTCCTGTTATTTCTTTCTTTATTTTTTAAATTTTTATTTTTATTAGGACATGTTTGCAGTACATGGCGGTCACAGACATAACAGCCCTTAATTCTTTTCTCATCACCTTGCCCTCCCCTTCCTCGGTCCTCCCTCCCTCTCTTTGGCCCTTTTTTTTTTTTTTTTTTTTTTTTTTTTTTTTTTTTTTTTTTTTTTTTTTTTTTTTTTTTTTTTTTGAGACAGGTTTTTGCTCTGTATCCTCAAACTCATGGCGATCCACCTGCCTCAGCCTCCTGAGTGCTAGGATTACAGGCCTGCACCACCGCGCCAGGCTGAGTCCCCTTCCCTTTTGTTTATTTATTTTTTGGGGGAGGGGGTTGGGAATCAAACTCAGGACCTTCCGCTTGCCAGGCAGGCGCTTGTGCCGCTGAGCCATATCCCCAGCCCCTTTTGTTTAATATCTCCAAGGTCCTGTCGCAGGACCATATGTTAATAGATCTTTAGGGCCAAAGGAATGGAATAGGAGCTTGTGCTGTTCACTCCACACTGACCTGTATCCCGAGCGCAACGCTGCAGCCCTTGGGGAAAATAAACAGTTGAAAAATTAAAAAAAAAAAAAAAAAAAAAAGAATTTGAGTGCGGTGCTGCACACCAGTAATACCAGCACTGGGGAGGCTGAGGCAGGAGAACTGCACGTTGGAGACCAGCCTGGGCAATTTAGCGACTCTGTCTCAAAATCAACAAGGCCTGGGGGCCTGAGGTTGCTCCGTGGTCAGATTCCTCGAGACAGGAAGTGGGGTGTTCGGCGCCAGGGGCCGGAGGACGGATTCGGGCTCTAGGGGACAGAGTTTCGGTTTTGCAGGGTGGAAAGACGCGGACGCTGCGCCAGCGAGCGAGCCTGGCTACGCGCCGCCGCAGCAGCGATCGCCTCTGAAAAGCGCCGGGCCGAGGGACTGGGGGCGGAGCCCTGCACCAGGGAAAAAAGAAGTAAATTGTTAAGATGGTGAATTTTATGGTAACGTGTATTTTGCCACAATTTAAAATCTGAAGTGGGTGGGATGAAAAAGACGGTGAATGTTTTAACCCTAAAAGAATGACTGCAATAAAAGATGCATTCCATTGATTCCCCTGCTTCACACACACTTACACGGTCTTTCTTCGCATTTCTGCAGCGGTGCTGGAATTCTTTCTGAGTGCCTTTACTTTTTTAAGTTTTAAATCATTTTTGCTGGGCGTGGTGGCACACACCTGTAATCCTAGCACTCGGGGAGGCTGAGGCAGGAGGATCATTATGTGGCCAGTCTGGGTTACAAAGTGAGCTCAAGGACAGCCTGAACTGCATAGGGAGACCCTGTCTCAAAAAACAAGAAAAAAAAGGGGGTGCTGGCGATTTAGCTCAGCGGCACAGCGCCTGCCTGGCAAGCACAAGGTCTTAAGTTCCATTCCTGGTACCAGAAGAAAAACAAAAACAACAATAACAACAAAATTTAATTAATTTAAAAAAATTCTGGGGGGAGGCAGAGTCTTCCTGTGTAGCCTGGCTGGTCTCAAACTCACGACAAGCCTCCTGCCTCAGCCTCCTGCGTGCTATTATAGAAATGTGTCAGCAGGCCTGGCTTACGTTTAGTTCCCCTGTTGTCTGCCTCGATGTCCTGAATTGATTCAAAACATTTTCCTTTTATAGTCACGTTGACTTTGGGGACAAGCCAGAAGTCACACGGTGCCAGATCCAGGAAATAAGGTGGATGAGGTTTCACAGTGATGTTAGTCCTGTCTTTCTGTTGGATGGCACTCAGCAGCACATTCACCATACTTTTGATCACCACTTGAAAAGACACTAATGAAAGAGGACTTGCAGAGCTGCTTTAGAAAGTGGCCATGGGGCTGGGGATTTAGCTCAGCGGTACAGCACCTGTCTGGCACCCACAGGTTCTGAGTTCATTTCCTGGTACCAAAAAAAAAAAAGTGTCCAGAACAATGCCATTAAGAGTGTTTGAGCCGGGCGTGGTGGTACACACCTGTAATCCCAGCACTCAGGAGGCTGAGGCAGGAGGATCATTGTGAGTTCAAGACCAGCCTGGGCTACAAAGTGAGCTCAAGGCCAGCCTTGAGATCTTGTCTCAAAAGACAAAAAAAAAAAGTGTCTGAAGGGAGGTGGAGGATTTTGAGAATTCATGGCAATGTGTCTTTTACTGTAATACTTTTTTAAAAAATGATAACTTTAGCCAGGTGTGGTGGCGCACCCCTGTAATCCCAGCACTGGGGAGGCTGAGGCAGGAGGATCACCGTGAATCTAAGGCCAGCCTGGACTACAACA